CCATTGGATTTATTTGGGGAGTTATTTTATGTTTGTTCTGTTTACTTATGTACATAATTGTTAATGAAATTTATTTTAACAATTCTACATCTCTTGTTGAGGTTGAACTTACAAATCTCCACCACCAGTGGTTCAATCATCCGTTCTTGGTTCATATTGCAGTTCTCCACTACCAGTGGCTCATTCTTCATCTTTTATTTCATATAATTTCGATGTTGAAGGCGAAATACTTGATCCTTGACTTGTTTTAGGCTTTTTTAGTTTATTTTTTGTAATTATTTTTTTGTGAAAGGCTTGAATTTCAATTAAAATTAATGAACCTTATACTAACTGTTAAAATAAAAACAATTTGTAAAATGTTCATTAATTATATGTATGAAAGCCTTATTTTGTAAAAGATGATGTTCCAATTAAAGTTCAACCTCAACAAGAGATGTAGAATTGTTAAAATAAATTTCATTAACAATTATGTACACAAGTAAACAGAACAAACATAAAATAACTCTCCAAATAAATCCAATGAAAAAAACAAACCAAAATACTTCTGTCCCATTAGGCATGATTTTCAGAGGGGTTGCACGGCTGAGGTGGTTGAACGGTAGTTTTGGTTTGGGGGGATATTTAATGCAAATTATCTTACCGGTAAGAGAATTATCTCACCGATAATTAGCAACTCTATCTTCTATGATAGACATCCCTTTCAGAGTCCGGATGCATCCGATCATCATCGAACAGAAATTTGTGCCGGCCTACGAGCTGGTCGCTGCCATAGATGAAGTACAAGATGAGAATCCTTAGTATTACGACGCCTGGAACTTCTTGGAGAAGGAAGAGTATCCATCAGGGGCAAATGCCAAAGATAAAAGGGCAATTAGAAGAATAGTTGCTCAATTCATCGTCTGCGAAGGTAAACTGTACAAGAGAGGTCATCTCGAGATGCATAAGCTGTGTGTTGATGCTGGAGAATCCAAGCGCCTGATAGAGGCCACCTAATGGGACAGAAGTATTTTGGTTTGTTTTTTCTATTGGATTTATTTGGGGAGTTATTTTATGTTTGTTCTGTTTACTTATGTACCTAATTGTTAATGAAATTTATTTTAACAATTCTACATCTCTTGTTGAGGTTGAACTTAGCAGATCTCCACCACCGGTGGTTCAATCTTCCGTTCTTGGTTCATATTGCAGTTCTCCACCACCAGTGGCTCATTCTTCATCTTTTATTTCATATAATTTCGATGTTGAAGGCAGAATACTTGATCCTTGACTTGTTTTAGGTTTTTTTAGTTTATTTTTTGTAATTATTTTTTTTTGAAAGGCTTGAGTTTCAATTAAAATTAATGAACCTTATACTAACTGTTAAAATAAAAACAGTTTGTAAAATGTTCCTTAATTATATGTATGAAAGCCTTATTTTGTAAAAGATGATATTCCAATTAAAGTTCAACCTCAACAAGAAATGTAGAATTGTTAAAATAAATTTCATTACCAATTATGTACATAAGTAAACAGAACAAACATAAAATAACTCTCCAAATAAATCCAATGAAAAAAACAAACCAAAATACTTCTGTCCCATTAGGCATGATTTTCAGCGGGGTTGCACGGCTGAGGTGGTTGAATGGTAGTTTTGGTTTGGGGGGGTATTTAATGCAAATTATCTTACCGGTAAGAGAATTATCTTATCGGTAATTAGCAACTCTATCTTCTATGATAGACATCCCTTTCAGAGTCCGGATGCGTCTGATCATCATCGAACAGAAATTTATGCCGGCCTACGAGCTGGTCGCCGCCATAGATGAAGTACAAGATGAGAATCTTTAGTATTACGACGTCTGGAACTTCTTGGAGAAGGAAGAGTATCCACCAAGAGCAAATGCCAAAGATAAGAGGGCAATTAGAAGAATGGTTGCTCAGTTCATCGTCTGCGGAGGTAAACTGTATAAGAGAAGTCATCTCGGGATGCATAAGCTGTGTGTTGATGCTGGAGAATCCAAGCGCCTGATGGAGGCCACCTAATGGGACAGAAGTATTTTGGTTTGTTTTTTCCATTAGATTTATTTGGGAAATTATTTTATGTTTGTTCTGTTTACTTATGTACATAATTGTTAATGAAATTTATTTTAACAATTTTACATCTCTTGTTGAGGTTGAACTTAGCAGATCTCCACCACCAGTGGTTCAATCTTCTGTTCTTGGTTCATATTGCAGTTCTCCACCACCAGTGGCTCATTCTTCACCTTTTATTTCATATAATTTCGATGTTGAAGGCGGAATACTTGATCCTTGACTTGTTTTAGGTTTTTTTAGTTTATTTTTTGTAATTATTTTTTTTTTGAAAGGCTTGAGTTTCAATTAAAATTAATGAACCTTATACTAACTGTTAAAATAAAAACAGTTTGTAAAATGTTCATTAATTATATGTATGAAAGCCTTATTTTGTAAAAGATGATGTCTCAATTAGGCCAAGTTTGGCATATCCAAAATAATTCTTCTTTTTATCTTTTTTCTATCACATCACCCTCTACTTTTCTGCACATCTTTTTCGTAAAAAGACAAAAAGTGCACTTATTTAGGTCATCCCAAACAACCCCTTAATTTTGATGAACTTAAAAAAAAAATCAATGACAAGTTTATTTAAATGATGTGTGAAAATATCATTTTATATTAAATTACTGATATACATTATTATTTTACAGTCAATTTTGTAATTAATCTCTTATTTTTGTCTTTTTAATATTAATTATTATAATCATCTTATTTAATAAATTTAAGCATTGGAAATTATATATATGCAAAATACAAAATTATACACAAATAATTTTCACACAAATAATTTAGACCGATTGCTTCATTCCACTATCAAAATAAAAATTTACAAATTCGGACCAACTGCTCCATTCCGTTATCAAAATAAAAATTTCAAATTCGGACCATCTGCTTCATTCCACTATCAAAATAAAAATTACAAAATACTAAACAATGCCTATTTCTAACAACTTTTGCCTATTATTTTCCCCATTGACACAAAAAATAATCACATCAATAACTTTCCATAATGCTTATATCCATTATTTTGTATTTTCTGCAGAAAAAAAACCACATCAATAACTTCTCATAATGCCTCCACAACAATAGTTTCCCATAATGCCTATTTATAGGATTTGTAATCAATTAATATTATTATTATATTTTTTTAAAATAATACTAATAATAAATTTAAATGTGTAAAAAATATATATATAGAAAAAATTAAATTGAATTGTGTAAAACGTATATAGAAAAAATAAAGAGGTAATAAGTGTTTAGTTTCAATTTTATGATAAAAAATTTTGAATTATCAATTAAAAATTTATCTGACAAAAAAAATATAAAAAATGTTTTTGATCATGAATTTTCAATTATTAAACCAACTACAAATGATGAGTTATAAATCATAATATTTAAAAATGAAAAAAAGATTGGGAGCTCTAAATTAAAAATCTTAATAATTTTAATTGATGGGTGAGTCCTATGTGATATAGTGTTTTGGTTTTAAATTTTTTTTTAATTTTCTACATCACTAGTACTCTTTTAAAATTTTCAAATGTCTCATTTTTATTTAAAAATTCAATTGAAACATATAAATAATATAATAAATATTTATCGAATCTTAAAAATTACATTGATTCAAATTAAAAATTATCTAAGAATTTAATCTCTAATTTTGAATATTTGTGCCGATTATCTTCCGGGTAAAGATAGAGGGCTGACATAACAATAAATTGACATGGGAAAAAATTGGAACATAATATTATTATTTTAAATTAATTTTGTCAAACCTATTATGAAATAACAACTATTTATCTGACAAATCATTAAATTTATGTTATTTTTGAAAAAAAAACTATTATTTTGGGAAAAATAAAAACTGTAATAAAGGACTAATATTTTGAAACGAAAAAGTAGCAATTTTATTAGTGTGTCTAATATTTTTACACATCATATTCGAATTAAAAATTTAACTAACAAAAAATATATGAAAAATGTTTTATACCATCAATTTTAAATTATTAAACCAACTAGAGACAATCGATTATTAAAGTGTAAAGCTAGAGATACTAAATAATTTACTAAATGTTTTACGAAATTTTTCATATGGGTGTGGGATCTACACACATGTGAGTTTGTGTAAATTCTACAATCATATGAAAGATTTCGTAAAATATTTGACACATAATTTGAGGTCCCTAATATTTTCTATTGTCAAATCATATTATTTAAAAATTCAAGTGAAAGATTAAAATTATCTAATATTTATTAGACAAAAATTATCTAATAAATATTAGTCATGTGAATAAAAATTAGATCCAAATTATTATAAATTATTTAATATATATCTACGACAATTGTGGACGCGACCAGTGCACTGCCCAAGAAATATTATCTTACCGGTAAGATATACTATTTTACCGGTAAGATATATAAGTAACTTTTTTGTTGCCAAGTCCGTGTACCTTAAATTTAAGATTTGATGTGTCAGAGACCTCTAGATACATCACCCGTCACACAATTTTAATTTCCAAAAACGTCCATAGAATTGATAGCTGAATGAATAAGAATGCTGCATTTAGTAAATAACACCTAATCGGTTTACGAAATCAAGGCATAATTCCCATTTAGCAAAGCACCCAAAATTTATATATAAAATTGCCCGCGCAGGGCGTGTGAACCTGCAATCTAAACATATCACCTTACTATATATCCCAAAGTACACAATTAATTGCTCCACAATCAAGATAAGTTCAGACAGTAAGAATAAAAAATAAAAGCACAAAATATTTGTACTAAAATCGACCCAATAAACCAGCAAAACAAACAAAACCCTAATTTCCAGTCAAACGATTGTAATAAAAAAAATCAAAAAACACTAAAAATTACAACATGAGCTGAAACACAGACATATACAAAATCAAATTGAATTCAAGAAATGAGAGAAATATCCGAACGAAGTAAAAGCACACCTTAGCAGGCCATGCAGGGAAGCCCTTGACCTTGGCGAGAACCAGATCACCGAGACGCAACTTACTCTTCCCCTTCGGTCCTTTCGCTCCACGTTTACGCGTCGGAGCCATCGACGCTACAAAACCCTAGCGGGCACCACCAACCACGTCGTAATCGTCTTCTTCTTCGTCTTGAGGAGAGCGATCAGAATCGCTATCGTACCGAACCAAAAACCCTAGAGAAAACTCGCAAACGCAACCAACCACGCCAGAAAAGCGGTTCGCGAGAGTCTCTCCGGCGAACAAAGCTATCAGAGCATCGGAATCGGAGGCACTGTGCAGAGAGGCTAAGAGCTCCGATACGGGTTCCGCATTCGGATTGTAGAGAGAGAGAGGGACAGGGAGAATTGGGGGGATTGAGGCGGGTGATGAGAGAGAAACAGACAGAGAGATAGAATGAAATAGGTGTATAATAATTTTTTCCAAAAAATTTATACCAACTAATATAATTATATAGTTTAGGGGAAATGTGAAAAAAATTGCAAGAATGTAAAAGAAAATGTAACAATAGATGATAGTATGCAATTTGATGGTAGAAAAAGAAAGTAGAAATAATATGAATGGAAGTTTGTAAAATAATTGTACCGCCGACCCCGCATTGACACCAATTCCAATCTTTCATCATGATTAGATTATGCCTCCAATGACTCGCGGCGGCTAAATTGTAATTGTCAGTGACTAAATCGTTACACCCAGATTTTGGATTTGTTCTCGGATTTTGATTTTAGGTTTTTAATTTTGGGGTAGGGTAGCATATGGTAAAGGATGGGCCGCTAGCGATTCGGTAGTGCAAATGAGGGATGATTGTGGTAACGACATGGAAGGAATGCAGAATGATTGATAAGAGAGGATATGGTAGTCGAAGAGTGAGAATGCAACTAAAGATGGCAGGAAGGACTGGCTCATATCGGTGGTGGTGATCAATGTCGTAAAAGAAAAGGAAAATGATAAATGAAGGGTATTTATGTCTTATTAATTTACATTACCATCTTTTTGTAATTAATTTTAAGAATAACATATCTTTTGAAATTTTGGAAAACATTTCATTGATTTGCACACAAAAATTTGCCCATTCCATTTTTCTACAAGGACTTGCATGGCCTCCAGTTGGACTAGCCAATTGGAGAGTCCAGTTCGACCCATTGTGTACCCATTTTGGATTCATTTCGACGATCTAAATCGTTAAGTATGTAGAATTTGTCGAGTACTCAATTCCAATAAAAAACACAACAATCGGATATCAATAGCCACTTGATCAAATCACATTTGCGTGAATAATTTATTTTTAAAATCATAATTATCGCTGGCATAAATTTGATCTAATTAAGTGGTTATTGATATCTAATCAATGTGATTTTTTGTAGGGATGAAGTACTCGACAAGCTCTACATATTGAATGGTTTGGATTATCGATATATACTCCATAGTGGGCTTACAGAGGCCAACAACACGCTCCGGTCCGAGTCTAAACTAGAAAGAAGCCACTGCCTTTCTAATTAAGTGGCTACCCTTTTTTGGGGGGATAATTACACTTTAGTATAATTTTTAAAAAATAATTACATAGTATTAATAAAAAAATTAAAATTAAAATTATTAATATTTTACAATTTTTTACATTGATTTGTAATTATGTTTTTAAAAATTTTATTCATGATTTGATATTTCTCTTTTTTTTTTTTAACACTTAATTTGGTTCAGGATACAAGTACAAAATTTATTACTCTCTGACTAGTTTGGTTAATAAAAACAAAAAATTCAAAATTTATTACTTTGTAATAAAAAAACATTTATACAAATTATTAATTTTGTCACGCCCCACTTTTTATTACTCGAAATCATTACCAAATTCATTACTTTAATTCAAGTTCAGAGATTACATGGGTAAATAAACTCAAATATTCGACTAGTAGAAATGAATACCCATTCTCTTATTCGTATGCAAATTGAATACTACATGAGCATACGAAATAAATTGCCCTTGGGCTTACATCATTAAAGAGTCAAGAAGAAGGGTATAACCCTTTTTCATAAATGGCATTCCGCCAACACAAAAGAGGCCCCGTGGCCAACAAATATGAAGATCCAAAATCTTGTAGCACATCTTGATTATCACCTGAAAAATATTTAACAACATGGGATGAACATATAGTCCAGTAGGGATCTCAACATGGTCCTCAACAATAACAACTTACAGATAGCTATGATCATGAATGCTCAATCTCATACTAGAATAGTAATGTGGCAGTTTATACAAGATATACATAAGTATGAACTTTTCTAAAAAACAGCCATTTCATTCAACGCTATAAGCGGTTCATCTTTCTTTCCTTTTCATTACCCCTTTTTCCCAAACTTTCATGACAATAACAATTCTAGAAAACAATTTCGCCAAGCCCATTACTTTCCTCTCATTTTCCGTATTTACAACAGGTTTGCCCTTTCTAAACATGTTCACAAAAACCCAATTTCCTTCACACTTTCCAAAATCTCAAAATAGCATTTAGGTTTGTTTTCAACACATTCATATCTATCCATGCATACCTTTAGTAAAAAGGGAAATAATAAATCATCAACATGTATATAATCAACAACTGAGGCAACTCGGCCTTTTCAAAACTGTAACCATCGTAACCCATAACATTCTCAGATATATTGAGATAGTGATGATAAAAGCTCTACTCTACCTGCCATAAGCACGGTAAGTTAAGGATACACCATACAACAAATGACTAGCCAAATTCTCCAGACACAAGCTGAAAGATAATGGTACCTAGTCCACATTCTCCAGACACAGGCTGGGAGGTAATGATACCTAGTCCAAGTTCTCCAAGCGATATTGAGATAGTGATGATAAAAGCTCTACTCTACCTGCCATAAGCACGGTAAGTTAAGGATACACCATACAACAAATGACTAGCCAAATTCTCCAGACACAAGCTGAAAGATAATGGTACCTAGTCCACATTCTCCAGACACAGGCTAGAAGGTAATGATACCTAGTCCAAGTTCTCCAAGCGCTAGCTGGAAGGCACTGGTACCCCTCATTCTAAGCGCGATATATAACACCAACCATCTCAATATAACAAAGCACAACCAATAAGTGTATTACATACACAATGATTCAACACAACAATGTCATCCTCCACTGATGACTAAGGACAAAACCTCTAGATGCATGTATTCAGTACACCTATTAAAAGAGACTCAACTCTCAAGCAATCTTAAGCCCAACAACGACACTAGTGCGATAGTTAAAGATAAAACCCTCAAATGTGTGTATTCAACACTCATGATACAATAGTTCAATACTCATATTCATTTTCTGAGACTCACATAGAGTTAACATTTCACTTCCCATTTTCAAGATCAACCCTCATAATTTCCCAAGTAGACATGTTCCACCACTTATTCCCAAAACACTTTTCTCATTTCACAAAACCAAATCCATTCTTTTCATTTCATAAAACCAATTTCATGGATAATAAAGCCATAACCCATCTTAGTTCAATACGTTCATTTCAAAATAACCCCGATGCCATAGTTAATCCCTTAGTCATCAATACTTTTACACAACTCATATTAACAATAGTGATTTACAAATATTGTTCAATCATCATTCCTCTTTAATTTACCAAATCAAAATATAATTTAGGGCTTTCTCTTCTATCAACAATATCATGCTAGATTACCTCCCAAATAGCCCAAATAACAATCAATGTTAACAAATTCATTCTCAAACAACCAACCCTAGGTTTCCCCTTCATGATTTTCAAACAAATCCAACATGGATATGATTTTCATGCAATACAAAACTACCACATGTCTATCTATAAACGAGGCATTGAAAAAGAGCAAGGAAATCCCTACCTAAAATGGAGAACCCAAGGAGAAGAAGAGAGAAACTCGAAAGTGCTCCAAACCCAACCTTTCTCAGATCAAAACGAAGGCCACGCCAAACTCCACCTTTCTTACAAAGGAACTAGGCTAGAAACACACTAAAGCTAGATGGATTTTATAGAGAAGTTGTAGTCTAGAGTGAGAAGCTCTCAAATTATTCATTCAATGAACTCCATTAAATAGATTAGTGTATCTCATACATTCACGATACATAATGCATCTTCTATATTAATGAATTCATTAGATAGATTAATATATCTTACATATTCATAATAGATACATAATGCATCTCTAAGATTCATTCATAATAAATCCATCACATTCAATGTATTAGTATTAGTCTTCTATACATTGTATATAGAGGTGCATTCATCAATAATTAGTCACCTTCTAATATATGTACATGTATCTTACTTAATGAGATGAATCTAGTATAATCATGCATAAGCTTTGAAAAGTTAGAGAGAGAGATTGGCCCGAAAAAATGATCCAAAAGTTGTTTTTCGGACTAATATACAAACAGGTCCGCTTAAGCGTCAAAAGCCCCGCTTGAGCGTGAAGCCCAAAATCTGGACATCAACCCTTGGTTTCCAAACACAACCAACCTATTTCAAACTTGCCCAACACGACCCAAGACTCATATACAAAGAGTAAAGGAAGGAAACAGGAATAAGACAACAACACATCCACGGAACCGAGTCCGGAATACAATTAAACAATGAAGGAAAAACCGGGATCGCTATAAATTTTTATAATATTATTTCTATTTTTGTGAAAATCGTATGGTAACTCTCCCAAAAAAATCAAAATTGATTAATTTGTAATAAAATAGAGCTTTTTATTGATAAATCCATTTAGAAGTGTTTTAACCCAAGAAGTCTATGAGAAATTTTTTTAACCCACTTAGTCCCATGTATTTATACTTTTATTCCATAAAGTCATTTTTCTTGATTTATATTATTTTCTTAGACTCTTATACCCTTATATTTAATATTGATATTTAATGTTGATATTTAATGTTGGGGGAGGAGAGAGAAGGGAAAGGACCAATGCATACGAAATTTCATACACAAATTAAATAATTTTGATGTTATTATTTTATATAATTATTATTTTTAATTGACAACACATTAAAAATAATGTGAACATTCTTTCTCATCTGATATGAATGTTTACAACACATTTTCGAAAAATTCTCTCTCATCTAATGTAGTGATGTGAACGTTCACAACATATGAACCTTCTTATTTTTAATTTACAACACATTAAAATAGCATTCATTATATTTTTAATTGACAACACATCCTTATTCACAACATGTAGTGATGTGAACATTCACAACATTTGAACATTCTCTCTCATCTAACATAGTGATATGAACGTTCACATTCACATTCACATTCGTGTGTTTTATTATGAATATTCATATCATGTAATTAACAACACAATAACAAAAATTCATTTCAAATTAATGTGAATATTCATTTCAACTACATGATGTGAATATTCACATCATGTAAT